TATAGGGTATATAGTAGGTATATTAGCATCCCAGGGTTAAGGGCCCATACTAGGGGCCCATGGGTTCTACCTTAGAATCAACGTAGGGCACGTAACGTTTCATAGGGATTTGGATGATTTGGATGTGGGTAGTTGTCAAAATTATGGTCCCTTTTGGGGTACCCTAAATAATAGGTGCCGTATTATAATAAGGACCCCAAAAGGGACCATAATTTTGACAACCACCCATGTATACGGATCATCTTTAGACTTTCGGGAGACTTAGGGGTTAGCTCTTAGGGCCCAGGGGTTTTGGGCTTAGAGGGCAAGGACTCCGATTCATAAGGATCACGGGCCAAAGACCAAACCATGCAAGGCTATTCACCTGTCTGTTTTCGTTAGGTCGTTATGCAAGGCTAGTAGCCGGTTTGGAGACGTGAGGTTTGGGCTTTGTGACAAGGTTTCGGGGACAGGGCTTGCGGTCTGGGGCTTCGGTTTGGGGCTTAGGGTTCTAGGGTTCTCGGGTTTAGGGTTCAGGGTCTCAGCATCAGGGTTTCGGGCACAGGTCGGATACCGGAGCTGTGCTTGTCGGGGGAACCAGCTCCAGAACTTCGAATCCTTATGCTTTTAGGGTTTGGGGTTTAGGGTTTAGGGACCTCTAAATTCGTGCTCTAAAACTAAAACCCTCCGCACGATGGGCTAATACCAGAAAGAACAACAAAGCGTCAGTATCAACACCGCGGAGATTGAACTCCCAAAGGGCCCATGCACCTGTCTGTCTTGCCTTACATAGCCGTTGCTTGGGCCTTCAGGGTGTCTTTTCTGGGCCCATGTAGGTACTGTAGACTTTAGGGTACATAAGTGACTTGGAGGAGCAAGTTCACCAACAGTGCCCTAAACCCTAAAGCACACAGCCCGGCATTCTGGAATGAAGCCCTGCCCAAGAAAATTTCAAGGCATGGGCACACCACGTATCTGCCACAGCTCTCACAGAACATGCCCAGAATGAGCCTAGGGTTTAGGGTTTAGGGTTCGTATGAGGCAGGATGATCTTGAGCAACTAACAGCGTCCTCACCGGCTGCTTGAGACCACCGAACGACGAACAACGTTCTCCGCACATCCGTTGCCCAAAGGCTCCATGTTCCTTTTTAGTAGATACTTAGGCCTTAGAGGGGTCCCTATATAGATACTTTAAGGCCTAAGTATCTACTATATGGGAGTTTCCGAAAATGAGGGTACCTTATTTTGGGGTCCTTATAATAAGGATCCTACTAGTTGGGGTACTATCTTAGGGTCCCCTATTTTCGGAAACCCTAAACCCTAAACCCTAAACCCTAAACCCTAAACCCTAAACCCCCATATGGGTACATGGAGCCTTAGGGTTGGAGGTGTGAGCGTTGGAGGTGTGCTCCCGTGGTGCTGCTACTGTGTGAAGCACTCCCCGAGCATCAACGAAGCGACGGGAAGGCGCATTCAGGGTTTAGGGTTTAGGGTTTAGGGTTTAGGGTTTAGGGTTTAAGGTTTAGGGTTTAGGGTTTAAGGTTTAGGGTTTAAGGTTTAGGGTTTAGGTTTTAGGGACAAACCGGAGTCAGTCACGGGCAGCTGAAGCGCTTGCAGCTTTGCCATTAGGCTGTAGCATGCGCAACTTCAGTGGGAGCTTTGGTGTCCGACGAAGACATGTTCCACCATCTTTATGGCACCGTTGTCAGCGTCAAACTGTGCTTTTTTCATCAGCACAGCGATCCAGCAACCCATGCCAGGGTTCTGATTAGAACGTTTGGGCCACAAAGTACCCATAGGCCCCATAGTAGTTGCTTTTTGGGATTCGGATCCTAAATAGAAACCACAAGAAGGAACGACTATGGGGCCTATGGGTAAACTTGTTTTGGGCCTCGGGGCTAGTTTGAGCCTCGCGGTACTCTTAAACATTTCTCATGACCCTAAGAAAGAATCTGCCACCCCTGCGCCAAATTCCCATGTCTCAACCCTAAACCCTAAACTCTAAACCCTAAACCTTAAACAGCAAAGCGTCGTTGGACACGTCTGGATCGAGCTCCACGGGCGCTGGTCCAACTTTTGGCCTCCACATGGATGGGCAGTCGCAAGAGGTTTAGGGTTTGGGGTTTGTTGTATCCCAAGGGCTCCAAAAGGGCCCAAAGTAGGTGCTATCTAGAGACTTTAGACCCCAAAGTAAGTACTATGTCTATACTTAGAGCCCCAGGGTATGAAGACCCGTTCAAAGAACACCAAATCCCCCCAAATTCGAAACCTCTTCCTGAACGCCGGAAGAGTTTGTCGTAAGGAATCCTGATGTTGCAGCAACCATAAAAAGCCCAAAATATCAAAGAAGTCTTCGAACCTACGCCCGCGCCCTTACACCGCACGGCTAAACCCTGAACCCCACGCCCCAGTAATCTCAGGATACACTTTGCCTCTGAAGTAAGCAACTGTATATACAAACCCGTTAACGCGAACGAATGGGTTGTATGCGTGGGTGTGTGTGTACATACATACATACATACATACATACATACATACATACATACATAGATGCACATATATATATATATATATGTTATTTATTTATCTATTTATTTACTTATTAAGCACCCTCAGATACATAATGAAGCCACCATTTCCAATACCACCCCTTGGAGTTCAATGGAAGAGAAGAAAACTTTATTCCTAAGACCACTCAATTAAACTTATGGGCACATGGACCCTATAAAGGGAACAAAAACCTCAAACCCCTAAAACCTTAAACCCTAAACCCTAAACCCCTAAAACCCCTAAACCCCATAAACCCTAAACCCTAAGCCCTAAGCCCCCTAAAACCCTAAAACCCCTAAACCCTATAAACCCTAAGCCCTAAGCCCCTAAACCCCAAAAACGCTAAACCCAAAGCCCTAAGCCCCTAAAACCCCTAAACCCTATAAGCCCTAAGCCCCTAAACCCCATAAACCCTAAGCCCTAAGCCCCTAAACCCCATAAGCGCTAAACCCTAAGCCCTAGAAGCTCGAGCTCTTCGACCTCTTTGGGCTCAAGATCTCTGGAGACTCCTCCTTGGCGACCTGCTGGGCTTTTGGGAGCTTCGGGTTTTGCCTTTTTTTAGGGTTTAGGGTTTAGGGTCTAGGATTTAGGGTTTAGGGTTTAGGGTCTAGGGTTTAGGGTTTAGGGCTTCGGGTTGCGTGTTTAGGGATTTTAGTTGAAAGCTTGTAGGGTTTCGGGTTTAGGTCGTACCTCGACCTTGCATGACCTACTATATCCTGCTTTTCGTAATTAGAACTCCTGTAAACTCTAGTTTGAGGTTCAACAACAGCAAAAAGTGCGAGTAGCTCGAGGTAGTTTGGATTGTGGGCTTATACAACAGGGGTCGGGTTTGGGAGGAATGTAGAGGCCTTAAAAAATCAAATAGAGTTTTGTTTGTGCTTTTTATCTTATTTTTTGGGAGCGGGGTGTATATGATATTATACTTGTAAAAAGGAACCCCAAATAGTATAGGTAATTAGGCCCCTACATGACGGACGGGTTCGGGCTCTGGGTCTGGTTTTTGGGTTGGGTTTAACGGTTTAGAGTTTAGGGTTTAGGGTTTAGCGGTGTAAGGCCCTAAGGCTCCATGTACCCATATAGTAGATACTTAGGCCTTAAAGTACCTATATAGGGACCCCTTTAAGGCCTATGTATCTACTATAAAGGTACATGGAGCCTTTGGGTGAGGGTTTAGGCTCGGCGTCTCGGATGCGGGTGCATGCGCCCCTTTGACTTCACAGCCTCGGCTTTGGCGTCTTAGAAAGAACCAGAACCCAAGCCCCAACCCCTAAACGCCGAATCTTGAACCATGTACGTATGTATATATATATATATGTGTAAATAGCTGTATGTATGCATGTGTGCATATATATAGATATATATGCAATATATATATATATATATATATGGAGGTTGTATGATGTCGGGTGTCGGGTCAGTGCAGGGCTCACGGCTTAGAGGATTTGGAACAGCCGAACGTGACTTGGAGGCGAAGCAAAGTTACCAAAATATGAAACCGGAAACATATGGGTAACTCTCTAAATTAGGGTCCTTTTACGAAGGGTGCCGTATGTTGGCCACCACAACAGATAGGTCTAGAGGTTGACTTCCAAGTCGGGCTTCATATGAGTAGTTCTCTGAATATCATGGTCCCTTTTAATAAACCCTGACCGCTAAACCCTAAACCCTAAACCCTTTAGGTCCCACAACTAGTGCGGCACCCTTCCAAAAAGGACCCTCAAAGGGGATATCAACTCTCGAACCTCAACGTGGTAGAGTCCTGACATGTGCACTCCCCTACATACCCAAAGGCTTCATGTACCTTTATAGTAGATACTTAGGCCTTAAAGGGGTCCCTATAAAGGTACTTTAAGGCCTAAGTATTTACTATATGGGTACATGGAGCCTTAGGGTTAATGGTCCCCTTAATTAATGGTTAAGCCCTAACCCTATACCCTAAACCCTAAACCCTAAACCCAAACCCCTATATGGGTACATGGAGCCTTTGGGATAACAGGCTTCAGCATGCCCATTCGGCTGACCTAGTCCAGAGTCCAGACCATGACGGGGCCTCCTTCATCCCACTACCTGCACTGTGCCTATAGTCCCATAGTAGTTCCTTTTTGGGGTTACCTTATAGGATTCTATATATGAACCCCCAAAAGGGACTACTTTAGGGCCTATATGGGTAGTCTCCATTGTAGTTCCTTTTTTGGTGGACCGTTTTTCAAGTTATAGGATCCTAAGCTTCAAACTATAGTTGACCAAAACAGGAACTGCAATGGAGGCTCTAATTAGAACCCAAGCCCTCACCCTAAAACCCAAGCCCTAACCCCAAAGTTGAAGCCAAGCACAAAACTCTGAATCCTAAGCAGTAACCTCTAAAACCCTAAAACCTGACACCCTGAACACTGAGACTTCAATCCGCACCCAGAACCCTAAACTCTGAATCTTAAACCCCGAACCCTAAACCGTGCCCGAAAGGGTTTAGGGTTTGGGGCAAACCCTGAGTTCCTAAAACCCCAAACCCGGAACCCGAAACCCTAAACCGCGCAGGAAACCCTGAGTTCTAACATCAATCCCTTACTTCTCCAATAAGCCAGGGAAATAGGAGGTTAAACTTTCAGATTACTTCTAAATTATAAGAACCCAAAAAGCTTAAAGGTTGGGTATTGGGGAACCCTAAACCC